ATATCAAACAATGTCTTTAATTTTCATTACTCAAAATTTAGTGCTCGATATGATCGCTATAATTTACTGCAAAATGAATTTTCTTTTTATAATAGTTTTTAATTTAGTATATGTTATACATATACATTAATACAATTGAAAACAACTTACGTATTTGCTTAAACTGTTTTGCAATAATTTATTTTATCTCAAATAGCCAGCAGCCATATTCTTTTAGAATCGATATTATTAAAAAACCGTATTATTAGAAATTTACTCTATTAAAAATTATTATAACTTAGGAACAATAATATTTACTTTTTCAAAATTATAATAGTCCGTCTTTGTATTTTAGTTGTTTTACTAAGTAATTAGAAGAGATTTATTAAAAAAATCTCTTTTAGAGAGAAACAAAGCGAGCGAACGAGAGAGAAAGAGAGAGAGAGAGGAGTGAATGAGTGAGTGAGTGGTGGGTGAGAGTATTTTAGTTGATATATTTTTCTCAATGCATTTGTTTAATAATAAAGTAGAATTGGAATAACGTGACAAAACAGTTTATACATTTGCGTTTTATAATTTAATTATTATATTATGTAATGTAATCCTATAGAATGTATTAAATATTGTAAAAGAGTTTAACGTCAATAAAATGTAAAATATTCCGATTTGCAAAATACAGAACTACAATAAATCTCTTACAGTTATGATTAATAATTCAAATTATAAAAAAAGATAAGAATATAACAGTCTATGATAATCTTTCAATATTCAGTCTCAATAAATATTTCTTTATACAACAGATGATAAAAGCAATACATTTCCGATATTTGCAATTTATACAAGTGTGATATGTAAAGTATAAATACTGTTCGCGAAGACCAGAAATCGTTCAATTACAATCATATCGCGTACGATCTGTATAATCAATTACTCTAAAAAACGATAAGCTTTAACATTTATTTAATTTTTTAAAATAAAGGTCGAAAATTCAAATTAATAATAGATATAAATTATTTATATTATATTAATAATGAAATACTTAGTTTTAGGATAGGAGTAATTTTTCGTGTTGTACAGACAAACGAAGACAATGAAATTAGAATTAAGGAATTTATATAAACTTTATTACATTAAGTCCATACAATAGGGGGATCTTCTAAACCTATATCGCGCAGTACATTTGCAATATTAATTAATATTAACTTATAATGTCGAACATGTCTTTAAATATTATGTTTTAAATATTTTAGTGTGAAAACAGTCTTCAATGCTCTGAAGGTCAGAAATGTTTTACGATATTTAATAAATGTGTGCCAGTAATTGGTTAGACGATGACCCGCCTAGACTAGATAACAAACAGATTTCATGATTCTGCCCAAGAGGTTTTTTATTTTAATATCATTACTCATTGTTATATAACATTTTTTTATATTTGAACACAATGCTATTTTTTTTATGTATACATACACACACAAAAAAATTATAATTAACTTCGAATAAAGACATTCAAGAGCAATATTCTTCGTCTTATTTATTATGCTAATAGCTAATTAATTAACTATATTAAATATATCTATGTTTATATAACTATGTTTAATACGTTAACATTATATTATATATACAAGAATTTTTTAATATCAATGTATTTAAATTTGTATTGCTATTGTATGTATAATCGATTATTTATTTACTTATGCATTAATGTGATTGTGACACATAATTATTATTGAATTTTATTGTATAGTGATAGTAATGGTGTATAACAATATCTTTATGTTGACTGCATTTATTTGTACATTTCATTTATTTATAGGACAATGATTGAAGAAACATCTAATTTTCTTATTGATTTATTTAAATAGTAATATAAGATGCGTCACGTTGTTCTGAGATAATCAGACACACGTATTTAGAAAATTTAGTTTAAACATGTTCTTCATATTTTCATTATAATTAATTCATTTTATAAACTTTTTTCTAAAAAGTGTAAATGTACATCCAAATGTATATATACGATAATATAATTATTAATTTAAAATTGCTTCAAGTCTATTTCAAGATATCTGCATTTAATGTCTCTTTAGAATTAGTTCTTAATGTATATGTATATTTAACAACTATTTTTGAAAAACGCGCTTTAGCATAATTGTACATTTAAAAAAAACCAAAAATAAATAGAAGATAATAAAAAATCCTTATGCGGAATTACTACGTGTGTACTGAACTGTACTTACACACAATCATTAATTCTTCGATAATGGTTAAAACGAATTAGACAACCGCGCCCATTATTATTTGGAGGGATTATAGTAAATATATCTGCAGCATAATCGGATGTGCTTGAAATTTAATATCTATTATTACATGCCATAGTTTGTACCATGAATGTTATGTTTAGTTGTTTTAGATGCATAATTAAATATACATCAATTAAACAACGAGATAATGCGTATGTAAAAAGGTTAACGTATATTATTAATTGCACTTTATATATGTATAACAATTAAAAATAAATAAAAATAAATAAAAATAAATAAAAATGTGTGTTAGAGGCACAAATAAAAACTCTTTCCATTCATGAATTAACGCGGATATGTGTAGAATCGTGCTGATAATTAAACTAAAAAAATTAGTTTTATTAATCGAAAAATTATATTGAGTTTTATTTTATTTTTGTATAGATAGTATTAAATGCAGCGATTTGATATGTAGGTATTTCGCTTCTTAGCGCCAATTGCATTTATATTATTAAATGGTCTCAAACATCACTTAATTACAGAGCAATTGGTCAACTATTACATTTTGTCGACAAAAGTAACATGACTGTGTAAAACTCTATAAACGTTACACAAAACATGTATTCATGGACAATATAAATGCAATATAAATGAGCATGATATTTAATAATATAGAAATAATTGGTATTATGTTGCACTTTGTTAAACTGGATCTGACATACGCACGTACTCTTTATATGTTTATATTTTCACCAATTAAATGCAAATTCTCGGGGAATTTATATTGTTCCGTATTAATTTTCAACAATATGTATACAGTCAAAATCGGTAACGCATTTTGTATCAAGCATAGGATAAAAGATATATAAATATATTTTCTAGTTATATATTACTTTACTTCTCTACCCAAATTGATTAAATATATCTATTTCTGATTGTCAGAATCAGACGTAAGTAGTGTAAGTATAAGTGCGTAAATATATAAGTGTATAGAAACAATACTTTTTCGATATATTCTTTCTTTACCAAATGTTTAGATATAAAAAAAAATTTGATTCAAGATTTAAACTTTTTTAAAATAAAGCGCGCATACTGTAAATACTCGTTATATTTCTTGAACATCCCTTATACGTAAATTGACACGACAAAAAGCTCGACGACACTTGAGTCGATCGTACGGCGGTAAATCTGTAAAACGTGAATGTCGCTTAAAAGCGACATTCAAGTGTACTGCCACTGATATAGTAAAAAAAAGGTTAATTCGGCTCATGATGTGTCGAAGCTTCACCGATGACAGGAAAAAAACCTCGACTATTTCTACTCAGCTACTATGGGCGAACAAAAGGACAATGCTACCGGATGATTCAGTTTCCTTTCCTGTTGTTTCCTGTCAACCGAATTAAAGAACAAGAGCGCTTTGTCGGAGAATCAATGGAATGCACGAGGCGCGCAATATGCACTCGATAGAATGCCGGCGCAAAGGGCAAAAAGCACTTGTACATTTGATACTGCTGAAATGGAAAGAGGATATCAGCGGAAGGCGACTTTCTTTTTGCATTCTCATATTCCTGCGTATTAGATAATCTTTAATAACCACAATCCGCAAAATAATTTGTCCCGCGATCGTGAGTTGAAGATTGACGTAACGAATGACTACAGAATGCGATTTACTGCCGTAGTAAAGCGTTTATTAACCACACGAGCATTCACGTTGACGTCGTAATTGCTCGTTTAACTTTGACATATAAGCGACTAACTTGTAAGCATTGAAAACGTCAATTTTTCAACACAAAGTTAAGTATTTTATAAGCTTAACGGAGAAATTTCCTACTTTATTCGAAATTGTTTTATTATTCCATTGCATATTGAGACGTTTCTGAACGTTATGTACGTTTAGATAAGATAGAGAAAACAAAAATGATAATATATGAAAGTTTTCCGACTTAGCTAATGTTGAAAGGATGACGAATATAACGGAAATTCTATGAATTTGGAACTATATCTTTTGTGTGTATATATAGTATATATATATATTTTAAGTGCACAAATTAGTTCGGTCCGTTTTTTGTGTTCAAAAATGCATTTATTTAAAAACAAAATGAATGAACAGATTAATTAAAGTATTGTCCAACGCTGGCTACTACTTTTTCCCATCTCTCAGGCAATTTTCGAATTCCATCTCGAAAAAATGACTCGTCTTTGGAGGCGATCATCTTTTGGAAAACGGACCGAACTAATTTGTTCTTCCAATATATATATATATATATATAAAGTTATACATTATTTTTATATAAAGCATTATTACTTTTTATAAAATCTAATCACTACTAGATAGAGTATAATCTTATCCGACCCTGCTTTCTTAGAATAGATATGGAAAGAGTTAAATAAATAGTATCATAATACCACAGATATGCGACACTAATACTTTTAAAAAATTTGTTTTTAAAAATTTAGCACATTCTGGAAAATGTTTTCCTAATACAATGGCTAACTAACTAAAGAATGGCTAACTAAAGAATGGCTAACTAATTGCATATGTAAGTCATTGAATGCAAATAAGATATCATTAAAAAAAAAGAAATTTCTGGCATATACTATGATATGTAAAATATATGCGCGAGACGTATATATACGATATAAACATACTGTAAATGTAGTCATTACATTCATACGCCACATGTATGAGAAAATGTAATGCCTTCTCTCTAATTGGTTATGCGTAGTCAGATACGTACATCGACGGATTTACTTGTGTAAGTCATAGTCGTATAAATGCTTCGACCATTGTAAACTAAGAATTCAGTCGAGGTCGAGCTCTCGAGTCGGTTCAATCTGAAGAACTTTTGTCTGGTGAGTATTTATCAATACAAATTTTAATTCGCCTACTCTGTCATATCAGATATTCGTCACAAAATCTATAAAATATAATAATTGAAAATATTGGGTAAAATGAAACAATGAGTCGCGCATATAGCAAAATTATAAAATTATTGTAAAACTGTTTATATAAATTTTGTTTACTGTTTATTAAATAGCCGTCAGAAAATCAATGATAAATTTTAATGAAGTGACAACATAAATAAATTTAATCTTTAGAAACTTATTGCATTGTGTGTTAATTTATCCAAGACCTTCAATTATATAATCGTCTATATTTATATGAAATATATATTAAGAATATTTTTCAATAGGTGTCATAATTTATCACTATATGCCATAAATTTTAAATTTTGATTTGTTATCATGACATAATAAAGAAAAAATTAAATATTAAAGTCCCAATTAAAAATATTTCAATATTGTAGATTAATTTAAAAAGTTGTGAAATTTAGAAAACCAAAAAGATGTATATATAAAAAATATATATAATAAATGTACGTTAATATAACAAAATTTAATTGTAATAAACGATTTTTTAAATGATTTACTGTGTGTTGCTATGTTATTAAATATCACACAGAGCATTCGACATACGCTCACGATTAAAATGATTGTATAGTTTTTAGTCAACGACATATTAGGAACTTATTCGTAATGGAGTAGTAGTAGTCCGAGTAGCAAATTGTAAGATACAATTCTAAAACTTAACGGTTACTTTGCCTATTAAAGAACTAACTTGAGTCAGACCTCGATGATTCATTCACATATACCTGTAATCTGTGCTGCGTAAGTATAAAACTCACGGTCGACTTATCGCATTATGTAAACTGGATTTCATGAATACTTAGTCTGAACGTCACGTATAAATTAGGAATTAAAATTGAATATTTTTAAAATAACAAATGAGTTATTCTATTTTTTAACACCATTATTATAACCTTGAGCAATTAAAAATAATTTTGATAGATACTACATTATCGATTTGCAATGCTCTTTATTATTTTCGCATTTGAGTCTAATTCGTGAAAATTACTTGATTGCAGGATACGACACTTTTGAGAAGATGGCGAAATTGATGCTGTACGTCTTTGTAGCGTTGCTAGCTGTGTCTCTTATCATGGGCGCTCCCGATAAGTTTAACTGCGGTCGACATGGTGACCCTGTTAGTATATTCTTGCATGCTTTATTTTTCTGATAAAGTCGCTTTTTTTCATACTCATTTTATAAAACGCAGTATTGCTACAATCAATAAGGAAAATAAAGGAAATGATTTTGCGTAATGAAATGCTAAACGATTCATATGAATCACTATTTACACGAGATACTGTTAAACATACAGTAAATCAGGAAATTTTATTCCAGTACGTACAAAATGTGCATATAATTTTAACGGTAACATATACCGCCAGTATTGAATAATGTAAAAGTCTACTTAGAATATCTACTTAAAATAACGTAAAATATATTTTCATACATTTCTTCAAAGTTTATATTTTTCTAATTTTGTTATATTGTTTTGATTCGATGTTTTTAATTTGCATATTGTTATGTAGAATATCTAGTAAACTGTAATATTGACAAACAAATAATTTGTCGTAAAAAAGCAAGTAAAAATAACAAATAAATTTTTTATTACTGACAAGCTTTTATTTTTAATTTTCACTTGTTTTTCCACAAGAAATGTGCTTGTTGATTGTAATGCTATTATTTACAAAAATTCTGTACATATTATCTTTTCTATGCATGTCAATATTTTCTTAAAACTGATTTGATATGTTACTTTTTACGTTCAGATTTATGAAATTATTTATTATAATATTTTTTATTATTTCAGTTTAAATTAAATTTATGTGACAAATAATAGATTGTTTATCAAATTTTAGTGCGTTTCTGAATCGCAATGCTGCCCCAATATGAGATGTCATCGTTATGCAAACAGATGTCAAGTTATAATTACTGAGGAAGAATTGATGGCACAACGTGAGAAGATTTTAGGCCGAAAGGGCAAAGATTATTAGAACAGATAAGTTTTCTATATCAGGATATTATGATGGATGACGTGTCTCTTAATCTACTATTCATCTGATTTACTTTTGATTTGAAGACTGTATTTTGAGAAATTAAATATTAATGTATAACATTTGTATAATAATCAGAAAAAATCAATACGATATACAATATTATATATATATAAAAAATAAACACACAGTATACTCATTGTAGATATATAAGTAACATCTTTTAATGAAAAATGAAATTAAAAAGTTAACTGAAAGTGTTCACTTCGTTTATAACAATTTTTTTTCTAAAGAATGTAATGTTCTTCTCGTAAGTGAAAAATAAAATTGTCAGAAGAATATTGCTATCTTATTAATTTGCGTTGGCTAATAATTAGAAGAACTTTTCAAAATAACGTAATCATTCGCGTTATCGGATTTCTTAGCGATAAACTATAACGCATACTTCAAAAGGACTTGTCGACGCAAAATGATGAAAAAGAACACTCCAGGATTGCCAAGTGACGAAAATTTCGAGCGGATAGATTCGTCGCGACGATCCCCCGGCTTTGTCCGCCCTGTGCACCTCTCTACGCGTGCGTCCCGTCTGTTATATTCGAGGACATTTAAATTCACTATCTCCTATCTCGGTTTACCGTATACTCGTTAAAAGGCGAGCCTTTGTTCGATAAAAAGACTCCGCCGGTGTATCCGCAGAACGGAGTAAAAATCCCACTGGACTCGACATGTTACGTGGCGTGCGAAGGACAGGTGCGCGGGGGTCCGTTGGGGTGGTTTAATAGCATCGACTTATCTTTCGATAAGCCCGTACCAGAACTCGCCATATGGTCGATTCGGAATCGCGCTCTCGTGAACGATTTCTTTCCATGTCTCCAGATTACGATGGATAAGTTAATAACATGTGAAGGTATTGTCATGGTTGCCGTATCAGAGTTTTAAATCCCGTGTTCACAACACGTGATATCTCATACGTATCTCTCCACAATTATTGAAAATAACGCGTCTTATAAAACGACGCCTGAGAAGACTGAATATTGCATAGAACAATTTACCGAGTATTTAACGTGATCGGCGCTAATAAGAGTTCGCAAAATTTCGAGAAGTTCCTCTTTGTAATATTCTGCCGTGAATATATTTCATCGACGGGGCCGAGGCCTTTGTAAATTTGAAAAGTAGGTGGACTTTGATTCAAAGACCAAAAGCTTCTTCGGTTCGTTATACAAAATTTCCGCCGTGTTCCAATCTCATTAGCGCCGGCTTAAAGTTAAGCGCCCCAACTCTTTTGCGCTGGACCGCACGTGCTCTTTGACCATCGTAGTGTTTTAACAGAAATCTAACCTTCTTGACAAATTAAAGACAGACGTACACGCGCGTATCTTTAATCAACAAAGAAAAACGTATCATGCAATTGCTCCGCACAAAAATATGCGTGTTGCTTGAAAGTTCATAATCTCGTTACTTGCGCGAGTTTGCTGCTTCTGATTAAATTTACGTTTTTTGATCTCGTTACCCTCAAACGTACGATTTATTTGTTATAATTTTGTTTTACAATAAATCCTATTACAATCTTCAATTTACCAAAGCCCATATGATAGGCAAATAATTCATTTTCGCATTTTTAATTTTCATAAATCTATGTCTGTTGCGACATCGATAAGGCGAAAAGGTATTCTATACACATATAATCGGTTGCTAGTAAAGACGTCACCATGCAAATATTTGCTCGCTGTCCCTTATCGTGCCCCAGCTTAATTGCCATATGGCGTACGATCATATTTCATGCGCGTGTTTTTTGTCTTAGATATATATATACACTTACAGTACACGAGCTCTCGAGTATTTTCTCACCTACGACAATCGATATGTACTTTTGTCAGTCAGAGAGAAATGTTTTCAAATAATTTTATAATTAATTGATCGAAAGCACACAAAAACCACATACATTTATTTATTTCTCGAGACTCGAATGAATTGCGTACAGTCGTCTGGGTTGGTGGAATTCTCTTACACGCCGAATCCAGTTACGCGACGTACTTGGCGTTCGAAAAGAGAAAGCACACGAGCATCATTCGAAGTAGTGTCAAGGCCGCGCCTCAAGGACGGGTCGGCGAGAGCCGCGCAAAATCCCAGCGTCGAAAGTAGAAAGGAAAAAAAAATAGAGAGAAGGAAGGTGAAGAAGGATGTATGAAGAGAGCACCGGAGACAAACGGTGAGCCGAGGCAAGTCCTTGACTCGAGTTGAGTGTCTCTCTTCGTGGTTCCTTTTAAGTTCTCATCCGGCGAAGTATGCCACACAGCAGGTTCTCCAGCCTACTTTTAAGCACGTTCCCGCGGCGGATCGTGTCGGATGCTAGAAGATTACGGTGAGCGAAGTATAATAGTGATACAAGAGAGAGGAGGAAGATCGAAGATACGAACATCGCAGAGAGTAGAGAGAGAGAGAGAGAGAGAGAGAGAGAGAGAGAGAGAGAGAGATAGGGGAGAGGAAATGAAGGATTGTCCGACCTGTCCCATTCTCGAGCAAGATCAGCTGCGAGCTTACAAGAAGCGAGGTAATGCCAGCGGCATGCCGCGAACATACGCGGTCGCCACAATATGAAAACATTATCGGCCGTAAGCCGGAAGGTACACAGCAATGTGCTGAGCTTAGCCCTGCAGCCCCGGCTGTGCAACGCGATCTCTCACTACCGCGGTGCAGTGCCACGTCAGGACGTCAGGATTTCAGGTGGGTACTTGTCCGCCGGATTCGCATGGCCCAAAAGCGCTCTCCCGAGCACGGAGAAAGGGAGGCACCGGAGCCGATTTGCGAAAGGAACGGGAGAGAAGATAGGCTGCGAGCGCATACCAGGCATGCACTCCGCCCCAAATCCTCGACGGATCTGCCGGAAGAGCGTTAATGAAACTGTCGCCAGATTACTACTACTCGCCGGCGCGCTACTTTTCTGATGGCGCTTCGAGGACGCTCGAGAACCCGCTCGTCTTGTCCGACATTGAACGCTCCGAGTCCAGAAGGATTTAGAGCCGGCGACGGGAGATATTCCGCAGCTTCGATGACATCGCTGTAGTCGAAAATTACCGTTCATCTTGTCATTTCGCTCGACGGGCGGACAAAAAGAGCGTTTAAACCGTACGCTTTGTCAGGCATAGCCGCGGCATCGGGGACGCGCTAGTGATTTTCCGTTATCGGGCTGATCCGACGAATAGAGGGGAGGGGGTAAAGTGTGACGGTGACGAGGACAGGTCGGTGTTGAGGAGAATGCGAATACCGAGGTGACGCGCACCAATACACACGGCGCGCGATACCGCGCGATACAAACACCCGACTACTTAGAGACAAGGGAAATGGGACTAGCCATTTGGGGCAAACTACCCCTAGGCTAGCTCACGCGACCGATCTTATCGTCGGCTTAGCCTGGGTCTCGCCTCGAACGTATCGCGCGCGAACGTATACACGTGACAGTCTATCACATGCACGAAGCCCCGCCTCGGCTATCTTGCCTGGAATTGATTTCTTGCATTCGTTATTTCCTTGGGATTCAACCGACTAAGTATACATGTATATATATATATATTTTTTTTTTTATTCTGACGAATCGTGACGATTAAGCGCACATTGAAATATTCACGACGATACTATCGGCACTACCTACGTCAGGAAAAACGAGCTTGAAATCAAGACGGACTTTATCAAATCGCACGTGCGAGAACCATCGATTCGCTTTCCCCGTTGTCTCTTTGTAATAAAGTTCTTTTAGATCAATAAAATTTTACAATATTAAAGTACATATATTAGACTGTGATGAGAACACACAACGGATAAGAAATAAGGGCAATATTGGATCTGAATAAAATTTTTTATAACATCTCACACAATAAATACCATAATAAGAACAATTTACAAATAATATATTTTGCTTTTCCATATAGTCTTTCTCGTCTTGTAGAAAGATATCGTCTATTTAGAGGGATTATAACAAAATCGATTGGCCTGTACCAGATATAGTCAACTAAAGAAAAAGAAATATAGAGTAAGCTCTCTTGTTACGTATAGTATTGTATTTTAAAATTGTATTGACTGAATGCCAATGACCCGAAAAATATATTGTTTTGCGTTGACCTAGTTTATCGAAATATTGATACATGCCTGTCTGAACGTCGCGGCTCGATTGCACGAATTATTCTAGAATCACGATCATCCTTCAACTTCCACCATCGCACGACGGCAACTTCTCGACTGCTGCTTATTATTTGCCGGTCTCTATCCTGATCAAACCACGATACCGCCGAGAGGGTCGAGACTCCTTTGCAACTTGAGAGCGTGGCGCTTACACAATCATACCGAGCATTTCGCTGAGATCCTTCGGATTACACGGGGTCGGTCTTGCGAGTAACTCAAGTCGAACTTAACAGTCGGTTAAGTCCGCGGATAGTTCGGACCGTTTGGCTAGTCCGGTTCGTACGGAGGGCATGAAGTCCGAACTGTAAGCCACTACGTAACCCCGGCGGCCATGGGGGGTTCGGCCGAGGTCATGGAGACGTGCCAGTCTTATCTCGATTTGCATAAATTCATAGTTTGCGGCTTAGGCCCTAGGAACTAAGGATACCGAGCGTACCTTATTCCGCATCATCAAACTTTCAATTCCTTTATCGTCTTGTTTCCAATTAGTGTGTGACCACACTTTTGATCTCACCTAGATCAAAGTAAAATTCAAAGATTGTTTATAAATAATGGTTTTCCTTAGAAATATTTCTATATGTTAGAAAGTCCTGTTCAATCTTTCGTGCATTTTCCTGCACAAGAGAGAGAGAGAGAGAGAGAGAGTCATTCAAATATATTAAAACACGTGCCATATATTTCAATAACACTTTCTGTACGCTCGATTGATTTACTGACGAGTGTTAGCTATCATCAGCTTTTGGCAACGCGAAAGCTTCGCTCTAGGGCAATTATAGCTCGCGGAAGCAGCGCGTTGCTTCAAATAAAGGGCATTTGGCATTTTTGACGTGTGCTCGTCGACGTGATGAAGGCCTCCGGCGCACAAATATAAGCCGAGGTGGACGCTTTATGGAATTAATAAAATATTCACTCGGTACAGACAGACGGCAAAGTAAGGTATATAATAATTTTCTAACACGCCACCTTGTGTGCTGTCTCC